TGTATGTAGACGTCGTATGTTAATGAACCTATGTATATTCATGTAACCTCAATAAAAGAGCGGTGTTACGGGGGAGCGGATGAGAGCGACTGGGGTCAAGCGAAGGAATGGCGCTTGTCGTGGTTCTCTCCCTCATATATGAGTGACACAAAGAACTTTGCCTACTCGTGTCTTGTTTTTGCTGTGTAGTAAATTTACTTTAATCGCTGGGGCGATCGTGTCTCAAGAGTTGGGAGTTTGCCTTGTAATCGGAAGGTTGCCGGTTCGAGCCCCGGCTTGGACAGAGAGGAACAGTGTTGGGATGACTGGGTGTGTAAAGCGCCTTGGGGTCCTTAGGGACTAATAAAAGCGCTATACAAATACAGGCCATTTACCATTTAGTAGAATTGTCTTGAACGTTCCAGCGAATAGGTTTATGCTACAAACCTATCACACACAATAACATGGACTGAACCACCACTCACAACCACTAGCACTTTATATAATCTCTGTAGAAATCATCCACATATTTCACTTATCTTAACTGCACGACTTTAAAATTATGTATAAATAATCATTCTGTACAATACAATAATTTTAATTCTACAACTGTTTATAACCCGCATAGTTCATATTGCTGTATAGCTGTATATTTCATATTTTGGTATAGTTTTCATATTTATATCCTGTTCATAGTCTGTACATAGCATGTACACTAGTACAGCCTGTACACACTTTTAGTTATAGCATATTCATAACATAACATACCTTCATACCGTGTACATTATAACATACCCATAATAGACCCATATTTTGAACCCTCATACCTATAATAGACCCATTCTGTAATATATCTAGCTATCTATATTATTGATAATATATATTTTGTAATATATCTATATCATGGATAACGCACTCCTGGGTGGATGCAAACTGCATTTTGTTGCCTTGTACTTGTGACATGTGCAAGGACAATAGAGTTGAATTCTATTCTATTCTATAGCCAAATAAAATTGTTCCAAGTTAGCTTTATGTTTATACATGTTAAAAAAAACAGTAAATAAAGTTTAATGACAGTTACTTTTTGTTTTAATCAATTTATTCATAAAAAAAAAAAAAACTTAAACTACAAAACAAATATAGCCAACTATTAAATATATTCAAATAAATAAATTTGGGAACAAATCTTTCAAAAATTGAAAGAAGTATGTTAATTCTTTCCCTAATGCCTTGTGCGCTCCTCTCCTCAGCCTCTGTTTGCTTTCTCGTCCCTGTATCTTTTCCTCTTTCTCCCCTATTGTGAGTGGCTGACTTGACTCCTCATTATTGTCCTCATCCCTTTTCTCTCGGTCACCCACTGCTGCGCTTGGCCCTGGAGTGTCCTCAGGGAGAAAGGAAATTAGGACAGGACGGAAAACCAGGGCCAGGTAGCAACAGTGGGCTTTCCACTGACTCCCTCTCCTGACCCTGGATACTTGCAATCCTAAAGGTACAGGAAATCAGAAATGACAGTAGACAAATAAAAACAACACAAAAACTTTCAAGAAATGCAGATCTATTAACTTGTCCTAATAAAAATTATATTCTTAATAACATATGACCTGTGTCTCAAATCATGAGCGGCATCCTGCAGAGGCAGCATTTGAAGGCTGATTAC